AATTAGCCAATTTAACTCCAGTTAATACACCATTAACTAAGGTAATTATGGCACCACCACGGGTTTCTAGAACCGCCACCACCCAGTTACCTCCTTATAGGGGTGCAATTAGGGCATGTTGGACAGTCAACCCTAATCCTATCCTGAGTTGATAGACTCAACCCAAGCACACGGACTTGGGTTGAATTCGAGTTAATGATTTTGGATTACTTTACGAACTAAATTCGGGTTGAACAGTATACTAGATTTTCAAGTTAGCCTTATGCAAGTAAGCAAGACTAGATTTCCCACTGGTTTTGAATCTGCAATAAACATCAGCTTCATTTACTGTGCAACTAGCAATAGGATACACAGTAATGAAATCTTACTTTTAAAATTCTAATTTATACATAAATGCACACTTCTATTCAGCCATGTCTTCAACAACGCCTATAACTTCTATTATATTCAGTTGAGAAAGGATCGATGCGAGAAAAAAGAGGACATATACCAGAGAAAGATGGACAAATGGGATCTTAAGACAAAGAGGCATGTTACGGAGAGGGAGAGGGACAGGGAGAGAGAGCATATAGATCATACCTGGAGGCGATCTAAGTGAGAGTGATGAGTGATTTGAATGAGAGATGGCGAAGAAAGGTGGAGGCAATGTGAGCTCATTAAGTGCCTTTGTAGACTGTGGGAGACCGAGAGACCAAGAGACCGAGAGAGATTGAGAGTGAGAGACCGAGAGAGACTGAGAGTGAGTGAGGGTTAAGGGAGGTGCAGACTTAGATTCACCTTAGTATAAATTATAAAATTGTATTTATATAATATTAATTCGGGTTGAACCCGATTATTAAATGGAGTTAAGCCCGATTTTAATATTTGGGTTTAATCCGTGAATCTGATGGCTTAACCCGAGACTCGTCCAAATTACAGTCGGATTGAGATTTTTTGACCCAAGTTCAACTCAAATATTAAAAATTTTAGTCCAAACCTTAATTTTTTTGAATTGAGCTCGGTTTGAAATTGAATTGCCCAACCAAAGTTGCAGCTCGTTTAACACCCCGCCAGAGCGAGAAAAAGAGAGAAAGCAACTGTGAACGACACCACTGCCTCCACCATTCGACAACCCACCAGCTTCCCCATCCGAAACCCATCATCAACACTACCGCCTCCATCATCCGAAAATCCACCACCGATTCCACCATCCAAAACCCACCACCCATTCCACCGCCTCCACCATTCGAAAACCCACCAACACCATAACTTTCAACATCCAAAACCCAACACTATCGCTAGCATCTCCACCATCCAAAACTTGCCACCAAAGTGAGAGATGGAGAAAGAACCACCGAAGGTTTTCAGATATACACCTAGGGTTTGTAGAGGTGCCAGTAAGGTGGGGAAGCAGCTGCGAGGTGTAGATGAATTTGGAGAAGAAAAACTAAGATTTCGACTGGGTTGAACAACTCGATTCCAGCTAAGTAAGATTTGTTTTTTATTGTTAAATAAATTGGATTAGTAATAAAATTGAGATGAAATTTATCAGAATTTTGTCGGAATTAATGATTTATCGGCAGATAAGGATGAAATATGTTTGTCGATTGGTTAATTGTTGATTTTTTTGAACTGGGTGAAATTGTTGATTATTGGGAAAATTGCACCCAAACCAGCTAAGGTTTGTCACTTAATCACTTAAACCCCGGATATTTAAAATATTACACACTGACCTCTTAAAGTTTGTATTCATGTAACATTTAGAATCGTATTGTCAATGTCTGTTAATATATCTATTAATAAATTATACTCTGACGTTTTCAAGTTTATAGGCATGTAACATGTAGATTTCTTAAATTTAAAATATTATACTTAAATTGTTTATTAGCTACGAAACTAACATAATCTACTAAACAACCAAATTACCTCAATTAAAGATATAATATATTGTGTTCATTATATTTTGATCCCTTATTTAATTTTTTAGTTTTATTCCAATAGACAATGTAATAGTATGCAAAATGAGTGTTGCATTTAGTTTTTTTGATATATTTATACTGAGTACTATTTTTTTTTCAACAATTTGAGACTTGTTTAGGTTTTATGTAAATGAATGATATAATGGAGAATGCAAATGTGTTGATTAGATTTATTTTATATACTCATAATTGATAATGGAAAAATTGACATAAGGCGAAAAGTTCATTTAGTCCAAGATGCTCCAAGTATGCCACTTTTACTTTTTAAACGCAGCTCATACTTTTGAATAACTTATTGACTTAAACATCCGAGAGTCGACCCCTAGAGCTTTTCGCTGGTCTCAAACTTTTTTTTTAAGTGATCAAAATCTAACAAACTGACATAGAGATCATCCATATTTTGGCATCAACATGTTAATTATAATTTTTTTGAAGAAAAAATTAGATTTTTATTTTTAATTTTATTTCAATAAAAGACATAATAAAACATGAATTTTGAGAGTAAAATTTAAAATATTTGATATTTTATTTTTAATTAGAATATTTTTTGTCTAAGTATAATATTTTAAACTTGAGGGATATAAATATTACACGTTTTAAATTTCAAGAATTTAAATGTAATTTATTTACGGATATACTAACGAAAATTAACGGCATAAGTCTATGTGTTACCATGATTACCACAATTCATTAAACCCTTAACGACCCACGATATGGGTACATCGATATCAAACGAGGTGAGTTCGTGATCCAGATCATCAAAATGAACGGCCCCAAATTATAATATTAACTCTAAATCCATTCACTTTAGAACATGTAGCACAAATATAAAATACATATTAATTAACTACATGTATATAGATTTATAATTATATATTATTTTAGATAATAGAAAATCAAGCACAATTATAAGATAAATGATAACTAATTTAGTGTTTATGAATGTTCCGTAATATATAATGTTGTATAGTAGTGAAAACAATTAATATAAGAGTTCCAAAACGAATTGTGACCCAAACTAGCGTACTAGTTAAACCTATCTTCATCGTACAACGTACCTAAAAAAGTGTCATATCATGTATCCGTACTTGTATCACATACCAAAACGACCCACAATCTAGGTAACATTATGTGTTACGCTGCACATATAAATTTCACGAGGTCTGTGTGTATTATTTAAAATGTCAAGGGGTCTAGGTCAAGAGCTTGGGTGTATTTTTTCCTTGATTTTTTTATTTGAAGTTGTTTGATTTGGATCGGACCGGGTTAATTGGGTGGATGTTGGATTTTCAACGAACACGGATTTGCATTATGATTTATCGGTCAGGTAAATTTGTCAGATTCGAAACAAAATTTTTTAATCGAATTTGAATGGATAAAGATCCGGACCGAATTGGACCGGTTGACAAGGCTTATTTGTAGTACTATCACTTCTTATAATCTGCCTTCATGTTTTTCTGAGAAATTTTTTCTAATGTTTTAGAAAATAATTATTTTTATGTAGGAGGCTGCTGTCTGTCTTCTTCCACTTCTCCAATCGTCTCAGGTAACTTTCTCTCCCCCTTTTCATCTCTCCGTTCATCTTTTCTGATCGTCTGAAGTAATTGAATGCTATTGACGAGTAGCATTGAGCACAGACAATTATAAGGCGTGACAAAACTGAATGCTATTAATGGGCATAATGCTGGAAAGTATGCTCTGACCAATTACATGATTTTGTTCTTGGATAGATTTCGAATGAAATTGTATGTGGATGCAAGTTTTGGTGGGGCAAAAATGAAAGAAAAGAGTTTTTGGGATAAGATGAAAATTTTTAAAAAATATTTAAGTTAAAAAAGGATTTATCCCTTGAAAAGACTGTACCAAATTGAATTGTATATACATTTTTTTTTTCTTAAATATAGGTAAGAGTTCTAGCCTTCATTGGAGATGGTTTAATATTTACTAATGAGATAGTAAGTTAGATTCCAAGTACATAGATCTATCTATTATCTAATAATATTGTAAAACCTCGATTTTTTGGATGTGTTATTTGATAGATCAATCAATCATAATATGCCAATAATTATATCTCTAAATATCCCAAATATACATGTCAGAGCTCTAATCACTTCAATAAAAATGTTAATTACAATTTTGATTTTCAAAGACTAATAAAACTTGTAATTTCAATTTAATAAAAATTAAGTTGACTTTCATTTATCTCTTATTCTTCAAAAATTAACTCTGGTCCTTTTCTCCAAGACATATTGAAAAATATTAAAAGTGGAGAAATATATAATACGATAGGAAACAATATGCTCAACGGTAAAAATACGAATGATCAAATACAAAATAATTCAAATGATAGGAATCACGAACAACAAAATCAAGAATCAATTTAGGTATGTCATATAGCTGAACTGCTATTAAACATAACTGTATACTTGGTTCATCTTGATGACATGACAAGTGATATTAAAGCATATAATTCCATAAAATATCGAACAATTGCACCCTCAAACCGAACAATCGCATGTCGAAGGGCCACACTGATATTTCACAAGCTATACCACAAGCAAATTTGGTATATGTATCAACTAATTCTAAAGTATTTAGTTCAAAATACAGGTCAACTCAACAAAATACATAAGATTTTATATAAATCAAAAATAACGAATAAGAATACAAACTTTGAGATAAACAGCAGAACACACTTTGTAAAAAACTTTAAAAGACAAAAACATATTGTATATTATCTTATATCTCAAACTACAAAGTGATACCGATAAATTTGATCCAAAACTGTATTATGCAATGTTATCAGAACCGGACTGGTCATCGAACTGGTTAGGGGACTGGATCAATGGTTCATTGGTTTAACCAGTGGGTTACTGGTCGGACTAGTCATATAATAATAAATAATATATATATATATATATATATATATATATATATATATATATATATAATTATAAAACGTAATAATTTAGCTAAAAATATATAAAATATGTCTAAAATGCATAGAATTTGTCATAAAATTAATGAAATTTGTAGTCATATATGCAGTATGGATGAAGACAGCATGTGATGGAAGCACAAATCATATAATAGCAAAACAAAGAGTCAAGAGTCAAAACCAATGAAATCCAGTATGATGGAAGCACAAACCCTTTTTTGTTTACAGTCTGGTAGAAGCAGTAAACATTGATCGCAGTCGTTGGATTTCGCTGATCGTCAATCGCTTGGTCGTTGACTTTCTGGGGCTTGTTCGCTGGAGCTTGGTCGCTGGAGCAGTGGCTGATCGACGATTGCAGTCGAAGACTCCCTGCCTGCCTCCCTGGTTGCTGGACTGCTGGAGCTTGGTAATGGTGGTGGTGCCTTCTGCGACTGTGATTTACTGATTTAGGACAAAAAAAAATCCCAAATATTGATTTTGGATAAAAAAAATTGTAGATTTAATTCATTTATGCAATTTATTTTTAAAATGGGCACTAAACCGTCCGATTTTTCAATTTTTTGCTGGTTCGCTTCCTTAAGCGATTCAACTACGGGACCGGACCGATTAGGGTCCCGGTTCATGGTTGAATCAGTTCAACCGATTGATCCGGTCCGATTCTGATAACACTAGTAATATGAACAATATGTACCAATTTTTCCTCTTCTCTCTCTCTTTTCCCTTTCTTCTTTCTTTCTTTTTTATTCTTTCTCTCTCCTTGTTTTCCCTGCCTTGTGCACAACTAAATATTCAATGTAACAGTGACATCACGTCATCATTGTCACATAGTGTCACTATTTAATTAAAAGATTAAAAATAAGTAAAATGAACTTTATTATTTTCATAACCTATTAGTAACTATCACATCCAATCAATAACACATAGAAATAGTAGAATCTATTTTACTAATTTGTTATCTTCTAATTGAATGGTGATACTATATGACAATAATGATATACTGTTCTCGTTGCAATAAATATTTTCTCCTTGTGTACTGCTAACAAGGGTGGAGGGAGGCTAGGGCCAGGGTGGGCACGTGCCCCCTCAAAAAAAAAATTTATTAGTTAAGTTTATATATTATATATTTATATAATATATTATTTGTGTCTATCAAAAATTTAAGATAAAAATATTAGACTCATATTATTTACTCAAAAGAATTAAAAAATTAATCCCATTTAAAATAAAAAAATTTGAGCCCACCACTATCTGCCAAAACTTACTAAACAATAAAATCTTTGTCCTATCACAATCGATCCAAACCTATTAAAAAAATAGAACTTTTGGCCCACCATTAAAAAACAAAATTTTTGGCCCACTTGACAGATATCAGTAACACCTATCTTATTAGTTAATTTTTTTTTTTCCTTCTTTGTCTCACTCACTCGCAGTTGCCCAACTAGAGTAAAGAATAAAACTCCTTCCTCAATGCCTTGGGTTTCTTTTTCGTTCCTTGCACAGTTGATAGGTTTAATAGAGAGTATGACCGGAGCTAGCATATGCCCATGGGGGCACATGTCCACCCTCAAATTTTTTTTCTTAACATTACCTATATATATTTCAAGTATTTCTTCAATATTTTTAATTATGTCCACCTTATTTTTTTGGTACATCAATTAGTGTACACTTATATCAAATAAATATAAATTTTTTTGACACATTTTGGACATGTTACATATAAATACCAAAGTGATAAAATGATGGTGTATGTAAAAAATAATAAAATTGTTATGTAACGATTTCAAAGTATGAAAATTTACCGGAACCAATTCTAAATGATTTTAATTAGTTTATATTTTGTAAAACAAAATTTGATGTCGTTTGTATATACTAAGCTTATTAAATTTTGGTATGTTTATTTGAAATTTTAATTCTTGAATATATAAAATTATAATTAATGACTTAATTGACGTGTTAGTAATTAATTTTAATACAAATCATCACAAATACCATCAATAAAAGAAACTAATTTTTTAATATATCTATATGTTTCTAGAAATATAATACTAATTGAAATATTTTTGTTTTTCAAATGATCAAAATATATCATTGAACAAAATTTTGACCTATCCCCAAAACCTGTTGAAACAAGATGACGGTACTATTTTTGGAATCGTACTAAAAATTGTAAGTGTTTAAGTATGTTAGAAATAAATGGGATGTAGTTATATAAAATCAAAAGTGATCCCAAATACCCCGTTTAGTTGTAAATTATTCATAAACAATTGTAATTTGATTTTACAAAATAATAATATTCCATATCGTACCCGTGCGCTCACCCTAACATGTAAATATCTTTTGTGATAAAGCAAGAGAAAAAAGGTAAGATTTTGCCATGACAAAAAATATTCAGTCCTTGGCAGTTTTATTTGGTATATAGTACATCACATAAAATACTTTAAATTATCAATCAATTGTTTCCATTTGTAAATATGCCACGATTTTTTTACTATAAAAAAATAACATGGGTATCTGACAAGAAAAATAAAGGCACCGTATGATTGTCACGTGGTGCCTGTCAAACCCTGAATTTTCTTGTCGAGTGAAATTGTATGTGGATGCAAGTTTTGGTGGGGGAAAAATGAAATAAAAGAGTTTTTGGGATTAGATGAAAATTTTTAAAAAATATTTTAAGTTATAAAAGGATTTATCCCTTGAAAAGACCTGTACTAAATTGAATTGTTTATCCATTTTTTTTTTCTTAAATTTAGGTAAGAGTTCTGGCCTTCATTGGAGATGGTTTTATATTTACTAATGGGATAATATATTAGATCCCAAGTACATAGATCTATGTATTATCTAATAATGCTGTAAACCTCTGTTTTTCGGATGTATTATTTGATAGATCAATCGATCACAATATACCAATAATTATATCTTTAAATATCCAAAAAATACGGGTTAGAGCTCTAATTACTTCAATAAAAATTATAGTTATAACTTTGATTTTCAAAGACTAATGAATTTGCAATTTCAATTTAATAATAATTAAGTCGAGTTTCATTTATCTCTTATACCTCAAGAATCAAGTTTGGTCCTTTCCTACAAGACATATTGAAAAATATTAAAAATGGAGAAGTATATAATATCGCAGAAAACAATATGTTCAACAATAAAAATACGAATGATCAAATATCAAATAACTCAAATAATAGTAATTATAAACAACAAAATCAAGAATCAATTTCAGTATATTACATAGCTCAACTGCTATTAAAAATAGCTTTATATTCGGTTCATTTTAGTAACATGACAAGTGATACTAAGACATATAATTCCATAACATATCGAACAATTACACTCTCAAACCGAACAATCACACGTCGAAGGGCCACACTTATATTTCACAAGCTATACCACAAGCAAATTTGGTATGTACCAACTAATTCTAACTTATTTTGTCCAAAATACAGGTAAACTCAACAAAACACATAAAATTTCGTATCAATCAAAAATAACGAATAAGAATACAAACTTTGATATAAAGAGTAGAACACGCTTGGTAAAAAAATTTAGAAGACAAAAACATATTATATGCTATCTTATACCTCAAACTACGAAGTGACACCGATAACTTTGATCACCACTGTATTAATGAACAATATAGACCAATTTCATAGAATTCGAGACTAAAATCACCATCTAATTTTGAACTTAAGGTTTCGTTATTTTTTTTCCCTCTCTCTTTTTGTTTCCCCTTTCTTCTTTCTTTCGTTTTTATTCTTTTTCTCTCTCCTTGTTTTCCCTGCCTTGTGTATAAGTAAATATTCAATGTAACAATGACATCACGTCATCACTGTCACATGATGTTATCATCTAATTAAAAGATTAAAAATAGGTAAAGTGAGTCCTATTATTTTCATAACTATTATTAACTAGCACATCTAATCAACAACACATAAGATTAGTAAAATCCACTTTATCTATTTGTTATTTTTTAATTAGATGGTGGTACGAAATAATGGTGATTATATAGTGATACCGTTGCAATAAATATTTTCTCCTTGTGCACTGCCGAAATGGGTTATTTCTAGCCAAATTTTTTGCCTTCACGTCACTTTGGTAACATCCTTTATGCTTGCATCACATGGACAAATGTCCATCTTTCATCCATATGTTTTTTTTTTTTAAATATAGAAAACACTTGTCACATGAACACCAAATCATCCCCAACCCATTTGACACTTCTATAATATAACACATATATAGAAGTGTTATATATATATATATATATATAAAAGTAACACATATTTTATCCATCTGTTACACCATTTGCATACTATGCTATTTTTATTGCAATATAAAACATGATCTATTTTATAGTAATTCGATTCATTTTTACACAAAAAATTATATTTGAGGTCTATTAATTTATTTCAAATTTTAATCCTTGAATATATAAAATCATAATTAATGACCTAATTAACGTGTTAGTAATTAATTTTAATACAAATCATCACAAATACCATCAATAAAAGTAACTAATTTTGTAATATAGCTACATGTTTCTAGAAATATAATACGTATTGAAATATTTTTGTTTTTCAAATGATCAAAATATATCATTGAACGAAATTTTGAACTATCTCCAAAACCTGTTAAAACAAGATTACGGTACTGCTTTCGGTATCATACTGAAAATTGTAAGTGTTTAAGTATGTTAGAAATAAATGGGATGTAGTTATAACAAAAATAAAATCAAAAGTGATCCCAAATACCCCCATTTAGTTGTAAATTATTCCTAATCAATTGTAATTTGATTTTACAAAATAATAATGATATTCCATATCGTACCCGTGCGCTCACCCTAACATGTAAATATCTTTTGTGATAAAGCAAGAGAAAAAGAAGTATGATTTTGCCCTGACAAAAAATGTTCAGTCCTTGGCAGTGTTATTTGGTATACATCACATAAAATACTTTAAATTATCAATCAATTGTTACCATTTGTAAATATGCCACGATTTTTTTATTATAAAAAAATAACATGCGTATTTGACAAGAAAAATAAAGGCACCGTATTATTGTCACATGGTGCCTGTCAAACCCTGAATTTTCTTGTCGTGGGGGCTGCCGTTGGAGCCAACCATATACCTAGTAGAGATGATACTCCCCCCACCCCGTATCTGTTTGAAAAATATTTGTATGTTTTGGTAATGGAGGAAAATTTTAATCTCCGTTTTCATCCATGTTTCCGTCACCATTTCCATCTATAATAATTAATTTCTATAATTTAAAGAAAAAAAATAAAAAAATCTCACAAATTGTTTTGCAAGATAAATGAAACCCAAATATATAAAAAATAAATAAAAAAAAAAGAAAGTAAAATTTTTGGTAAAGAGAAAAGTTTGTGGGTGGGTAGAGTTTGTGAGATATATATATATATATATATATATATATATATATATATATATATATATATATATATATATATATATATATATATATATTACGTTTTGTAGGGTGGGGCAAAGGGCGGAATAAGTTTCAATTCATTCCCGTCACCATCCCCACATAGATTTATATGGGTATCCTTATATATGTTCACCGTCTAATATATGTACACGATGAAAAATAAATCCAAGTGAAAGGTTGTTTCCCAATTGCGGTATGTATACCTAACAAAAAAAACAAAAAAATTAGAACATATTTTTGGTCTCCAAATTATGTATTTTGTTTCAGTTTGATTCTCAATCTTTTAATTGTGTCAAATTAGTCTCTCAATTTTCAATTTATGTTACTTTGATCCAATAAAAAATGACAGTTGAAATTTAAGAAGGGAGATCATCATGTGATCTTACTTGAGGCGCATTTTTTTGGACAACTTTAGGTACTAAAGTGATATAAATTGTAAATTTGAAGGACTAAAATGATACATGTTATAAATTTGAGGGACAAAGTGAACCCTTAAGTGTAGTCATGTAAATATTTCCGTTTAATCAATTAAAACTGACGTTTTTGATTGGACTAAAGTGACACAAATTGAGAAGTTGACAAATCAAATTAACATAATTCAAAGATGGAGGATTAAATTGACACAAAACACATACTTAAAGGACTATCAATGACCAATTACCTTTTCTGGAACATTCGTTTGAATGACCAATTTAGTCATGATCATATGTTTAGTATATGTATGATAATCTGATAAGAATAAGATTAACATCTTGTCTAGGATAATACTGCAGTTCCACTAAAAAAAAAAATAGAAGAAGAAGAAGAAGAAAAAGTAAGTATCGAATCAAAAATTATCACTTTTATTACAAGTAATTTTTTTTAAAAATAAATATATATATATATGTATACAAAATATATATGTAATAGGATATTTAAAAATATTTCTTGCGAAATGTGTAGATTTTGATTTGAAATTATGACATAATGTTTAGAAGTATATTTTAAAGCCAAAAAAGTCTATTTGTTAAAAAAAAAATGAATAAAAAAGTCAAAAAATTAATAATTTGGTCAATTTTTTATTGGTCATTTTTTATTATTTTATATGGTAGTGGAAGATAAATGAATAAAAAAATGACCAAAAAATGACCATAAGTGCTCTCGTAAGAAACAAATGACTTTGATGGGAGACCCACTAATTTTGTACACTTGTACATAAAAAATGACAAAATAGTTGGGCCACAATTTTTTTTTTCTCCTAATTTGTGTTTCATAATCTGCCACTTTTTAAGGCTAAAATGGTAATTCCAAATAACTTTCAACCAGCTTCCTTCCTTCCGTCCACTTTCCTCCCATTGTGGAGTGATTAAAAATGGTGGACGCAGAGGATACGTTTTCCATCCATTCATTATGCAGTGATAGAAGATTCATATATATATGTATATATATATATATATAAATGGAAGACTGATATAAACTAGAAAGTCTCTCTTGGTAGGCAATACTAAACGATAATCTGATAAGATTAACATCTTGTCTTGGGTAATAATTGAGTTCCACCAAAAAAAAAAAAAATAGAAGAAGAAGAATTAAGTATCGAATCAAAAATTATCACTTTTTAATAAAAAGTTATATTTAGTTAAAAGATGAAATTATAATTATTTAAGATAATTCATGATCGATCATGCAATAACGTGATTGATGATAACTTACTTTAAGATGGTGTAATTTTTCATTTTTGAGTTTCATCTTTAAAATTTATATTTTAATTTTTAAATTTATAATTTTTTATAATTAATGTTTACTATTAGGGCATTAATCATACATTTACGATTATAATTCACATCTTAAAAAATTATAATCTAACTTAAAAAATTATAAGTTTCGGTATCTTATGGGAGGTGACGCCGTAGTCTTCCTTGTTTTAGCCATCCCAAGTCCTAAATTTTTCATAACAGAGAATCCCACTAGAACCTACCTGTCAGAAAAAGACCAATGCCCCAAGGACATGATTCCTATATTTTATTTTTGATGTAACGCGTAAATTGCTTCCCAGTTTCGTTTAGTACTGTTTTACTGAGTTATTACTCATAAATCAAAGTGACTTTGTTTACACTATCTATATTTTAAGGTAAATCATTGTATCCAACCATATAATATAACATTTATCGGAACAGTCGTTAGAATGACCAGCTGAATCATAAATCAGACAACTGTGTCCAAAAACCATATTACCCTGTTTTTGATCTTCCAGATTCATGTCCGTTCCAATGTAAATTTTTTCTTAATTTAAATAATGAGTTGTTTATTATAGAGTGAATTTAAGTGAAATCTAGTGTATATAATTTTATATTTAGTCACCATATAGAGTCCGTGATATATGTGTCTAGAGAAATTGATGAAAATTTTTATAAATCCATCCCATGATATTTTCAGAAATTGTAGAAAAGACCAAATGTGTCTCCTTAACCTGGTCTTCACGCAAAATCATGTTCAAAAGATTAGTTGCTTATTTTCTTGCCCCGAATTTTGACCCTTTGGCTGCATCCGCAGCTATTTTTTGGTTACACACTGTTATAAGATTAGAGAAGGAAGAGATTAAGAATTAGGATATGATCATACAGTGTCACTTATTATTATTATTATTTTTTTTTGTGTGATTCAACTGCTTTTTTTTCTGTAAAGCTGAGATTTTTTATTTTATTTTTTGATATATTACGGAAAAAAGAAAAAATGGGTCCCGCATTGTTCCACTTGCTAGTCAATCATGACTTTCTATGTCAGTAAGACTTCATTAAATAATAGTGTGACAGATCAACCGTTAGGCAATTGAAACTCTTTTAATATTTCAAGAATCGGAAAAAAAGTTCTCTCACCTCTGTAATGGCTACCCCTCCAAGGTCTCTTAATTTCTTGATCTTCATCCTTATTTTCACAAAACTCTTGGCCATAGCTCAAGATGATGATACCCAGTTCATGTACCATGGCTTCCGAGACTCCAAACTCTATATCGATGGGCAAGCTGTGATTCGCCCCAATGGTCTATTGCGGCTAACCAATACTTCAGATGGCGAAACTGGCCATGCTTTCTACCCAAATCCTGTGAGATTCAACTCGTCCTCCTCATCTGGGTCAGCTCAATCTCTCTCGTTTTCCACGTATTTTGTCTTTGCCATTACCACTGACTTTGATATTCCCAAAGGCCATGGCTTTGCCTTCGTCATCTCACCATCTCTGACCTTCACCCAGCGAGGTTTGACAAACCAGTTTCTGGGAATTTTCAATTCTACCAACAACGGCCTCGCTTCGAACCATGTGTTTGCAATTGAGTTTGATACTATGAAGAACCCAGATTTTGATGATATTGATGGTAATCATGTGGGTATCGATATAAACAGCCTCATATCTAATATATCGGTGACTGTCACATATTTTTCCAATACAGAAGGGGTTAACAAGACCTTGGATCTTACGAGTAAAACTCCAACTCAGGTTTGGATAGATTATGATGGAGTGAAAAAGAATCTCGTCGTTACATTAGCTCCTGTCAGGATCGCGAAACCAAATCGACCTCTCTTGAATGTGTCCATTGATCTTTCTCCAATTTTGTTCGACTATATGTATGTTGGTTTCTCTGCAGCTGCCGGAGCAGCTAAGCTAACGGGAAGCAATCACTATATTCTGGGGTGGAGCTTCAACAAAACTGGGCCAGCACAAATCCTAGATGTCTCAATACTTCCTCCAGTGCCCGGGGTTATGATAACCAAAGGAACACTGGTTCGAGATGTTACAATCTCGGTCGCAGTAGTACTGGTTGTGCTCATCATCACAACGGGTGGGATTGCTTACATAAAACACAGAAGAAAATATGCAGAGGTACGCGAGGATTGGGAAGTGGAATATGGACCTCAGAGATTCTCCTATAAGGATCTTTACAAAGCAACCAAAGGGTTCAACCACAAAGAGCTTCTAGGAGCAGGAGGTTTTGGACAGGTTTTTAGAGGAATACTTTCTTCTTCCAATGCCCAAGTCGCAGTGAAGAGAGTCTCCCATGAGTCAAATCAAGGGATGAGGGAATTTGTGGCTGAAATTGCCAGCATGGGAAGGCTCAGGCACAGGAACTTGGTGGCTCTCCTCGGCTACTGCCGGAGAAAGGGGGAGCTTCTCTTGGTCTACGATTGTATGCCCCATGGAAGTCTTGACAAGTTTTTGCACAGCAATGAGAAACCAAGCCTGAACTGGGCCCAACGATATCAAATCCTCAGAGGAATAGCATCAGGCCTTCTGTATTTGCATGAAGGGTGGGAAAAAGTAGTTCTTCACAGAGATGTCAAGGCCAGTAATGTCCTACTGGATGCTGATTTTAATGGGCGGCTAGGAGATTTCGGGCTTGCTAGATTGTATGATCATGGTGAAAATCCTAAAACAACCCATGTGGTTGGAACTTTTGGGTATATTGCACCAGAGCTTGCTAAAACTGGGAAGGCAACTACTAGCACAGATGTCTTTGCTTTCGCGGCGTTTATGCTCGAAGTGGCCTGTGGACAAAGGCCTCTAAAGGTTCATGGATTTGATGATAAAATTCTGGTTCAGTGGGTTTTGGAGAAATGGCAAGAAGGAGCAATCCTTGAGGCTAGTGATCCCAGATTGAGAGGTGAGTTTGTGGCGGAAGAAATGGAGTTGGTTTTGAAGCTGGGCCTACTTTGCTCGCACTATAATCCAGTGTCTAGGCCTAGCATGAGGCAAGTGATGCAATATTTGGATGGGGATGCCATGTTTTCGGAAGTATTTATTGATGATGCAGGTATTGGTATGGCCGCATTAATGGGGAATGGGATTTCAAATGAATTTGCAATGACATTTCCTTCATCATCATCGGAGAATATTTCTGCTAATGCCCTATCTGGTACAGAGTCACTCCTCTACATGGGACGTTAGAATTGAGTAAGTTTTATGTTTAAGATATGTTGGATGGTTGTTTCATTGTGTTTCGGGAAAAAAAACTATAACTTGTTAATATTTATGGTAGATTTTGAAATTTGAGGCAGTGTTGAACAACTATAGCATTTCACACACACACACACACACGAAAAAACCCTCCTGTGCAAGGAAATTGTCATCTTTATTGCAATTGGTATTGTGTTGGCCATGGCCAATTCTTCCATAGCATTGGCTACCCATACATAAAGGGCGAATTGTGCAGATTTAGTAGACAGGTTTTGTGAAAGCATCTATTGGGGAATTGTGTTTTGTATGCTTAGTGGACATCTTGGAACTTTCTTCTTTATTTCTTGTTTTTAGATCAATAAACGCTTTACCTACCGAACTAAAATAGAACACACCAGAAAAGTGAGGGCACAACCACAACGCGGTGGATAGCTTTGACCATATGCCTGCCCTGACCATCTCATCAAACAAAAAGGGAATAGACAGAAGCCCTGTACGACTGGTCATCCATAATTTAGTTTTCTCTACCGGGGGTCGGATTCAATTCGAAGAGTTGCCCATGAAAAGGGTCATTGACGCAGCAAATCTAATCGAAGTGGTCGAAAAAATATTTAATATAACAGTGATATTAAGTTAACCATGGCATGTGACATTAATATTCAATAAAAAATAATTAAATAAATTAAATGAGATTCAGTAACTAACTTATTTCGATTTTATTTATCCAAATATCTGCATCAATCATCAGTGAATGTAGATAAGCCTATTTCGTCAACAAGTTACACTTGGGGGCAGCGTGTGCACATGTGTGGTCTTAAAGGTTTTGCCTACCAAATACGTTGGGTCACCGCCCTTAATTTCTTAGTAGGTGGATTTCTTTACATATGTCACGTGAACAGAAATTCGTTGTGTCCGATGAAAAACATTATCTTTTTACTGCATTATTTTGGTTACTTAAAAAATTAAAATATTTCACAAAATAAAAGAAAAATGGATAAAAATTTTAAAATTTATTATTAAAATATTTCAAAATATAAGTTGAAATATGTGAAAATATTTTAATACTCCGTTTAATACGGTAGAAAAATGGAAGGTTAAATAAAACATCATGTTTGGTAAAGAAGAAAAATAGGATGAATGAAAAAGTTAATAAATGAACTTTCCTTCTAACTCACAAAAATCAAATCCTCCAAAATTAGAAGAAAAGTGGATGAAAAGTTAATTATTTGTGTTGAAATGAATCTTATATATCTATATATTCTTTAATATCTATATATATATACTAGTCATAACTCATGCCTGAAGGCACGATGAAATATAAGATTTTAACGTTCAAAAAATTGATCTCACTATACCAAATTTAAAATTAATTTATTCGCTTACATAATTTAAAATTAATTTTACCTATTATTTTTTTAAAAAATAGTGTCAAAATTTTCTCAAAATATATAACTCAATAATTTTTTTTTTAACATGTGTACACTATTATGTATGAATAATATATGAAATAAAAATTGTGTTAATCTACAAATTGACTAAATATTGAATGACCGAACATGTAATAGAATTAGATGATGTGATACTTTTTTGGGGGAAAATGTATAAAGGATAATGATTCAACTTGCTATCTGATTTATTATATATATATATATATATATAATGTTAAAATATGTATTTATTCTTTTAAAAAAAATAAAAATAAAAGTGTATCAAATTATATGTATGTAAAATAATCATTTTTATATTTTTATGCATTCAACAAAACACAAATAAATAAAAGTTATTTTTTTTTCTTGAAGAATAGAAATTGTATCTCTCATACTTTTCGTCATTCATACTTTATATCATTCCAACCAAATAGAACGTAAAACATTAAATTTTAGATTCAACCACTCATTTATTAAAGTCAATATAAGATTATGGCGGATTTACTCGCTAATGGAACTGATTTAAAATAAGAAAAAAAACAATAATGTTTTTAAGGTATTAGAGAGTTTAATAGAATAAGGATGAATGTTCTAGAATAATAGTTATTTGTCCAAATTTTTATTCAATTTGTATCTAGATCAATCGGTCAAGTTAGGATTAAAAATACTGGAATCCTTCAAAACATAACATTTTTTTACTGTAACCTCGTACATTACACTCATTTTATGTGAACGTGTGCCATTACGTTGTGGTCGCTCTAGTCAACGAGCAATACATGTTTTAATTCGTATCATGGCCGTCATAAAAAGACCACAGGTTCATAAGCTATGATTTTTTTTTTTTTGTGACCTAGCAGATAAAACCAAATATGTGGCTGGATTTATATCTTCTCCGTTGAAATTAATCCTCAATTTCTTTTACTGCTAGATCTTTCTCAATAAATTTATAGTAAATAGTCAGTCCTCTTTAAAAAACTTTTAAAACTTAAATTACAAGTCTTAAACATATTTGATATTATTTCTAACAGGTTATTTTGTTAAGTAGTTAAGTCATTTTTTTTATTTTTCATTTTTTTTACTAAATTACCTTTATTGTATTGTTTTAATGTTAAAAGTAGTTGTCAAAATAGTTTTGATGATGCACAAATCAATTTTATGTACCAACTGTCAAGTAATTAGTATAATTAATAAAATATAGTAATATGATAAAGAAATCAACATAAGCAATTATAGAGATAGAATAACTTGGTCAGGGTGAGCTACTCCACATTAAAGAGTTTTGGTTGTCGGGGTATTTTATTGTTATAAGAGTGTGGAGAGCTCAGGTAAGAGCGATGAGAGCTCAGGTGAGTCATGTGTGAGATAAGATGCAAGATGTCCATTATGTGTAGGTGAGACTTATAATTTATATGCGCCTCTTAACAGATAGAAGCGCCACATCTGTAACAGATATAGTCTAATTTGGTGGAGGTGATACCATTCTCGCAACAAATGAGATAGTTGCGTGGAGATGACGTGAAGATCTCTTTGTCAATTGCAGACTGGGTCTCAAGATAACGTGGCTGAGACTATAGGATGACATGCCTTAACTCTACGATGGCGCGGCTAACTATGCTCCCTTGACTCTGTGGTGAACCAAATTGGGTTTCAACTGGGCCGACCCATTACTTGAGCTGGGCTTTGTTCAGGCTAGGGGTCACTATTTGAGTTGGACCTTTTCTAAGTCGGGCCCATTACTTGAGATGGGCCATGTTTGGGCCGAGCCCATCATTTGCCCTCCCATGCCTTGAGTCCAATAAGATTTAGAGGAGAAGACATTGGTTGAGTTTGAATTTTGGTTGACGAGGACTCTTCTTGACCGATGGTCTTTTCCTTTTTGATATGGCTTATCCCTCTAAGTCATCCACTTTTGATTAGGAAACCCCCCATCCCAATCTGTCACTGTCAAATTCATTTTGATTAGGACTCGAAACCTAGGCTATAAATAGGGGCCTTTCTTTTCTTTCCATTCCATCTAATCGTCAGAGAGAAATCCTTGGAGAGATGTCAAGGAGTGGTGGCAAGCAGATAGAGGGCGATGGGGCTGTCCTTGAGCAGGGTGGCAGGAGACAGTTGGCGGGTGGCGCAACAGGGAGAATGGAATTGCAAGAGGCTTTCGGCATTGGCGAGGAGGGAGGCAACTTGCACCTGTGCAACAGGCGCCAAGCAAACGTCGACAAGGAGGTAGGCGGCTTGGGCAGCAAGTGCCTGGCGGGTGTCGGTGAGGAGGCAGACTGCTTGGGTAGCGGGCGCTGAGGCGTTGGGAGCAGTGGTAGCAGCTAATAAAGTAGTATACTAAAAGTTTACTTTTTGTACTAAAACTCATTTATCAATTAATAAAAGTTTGTTCTTTCTATTTTATTGAGCATCTATATGGGGGAAATGTTTGTATAATATTTTATATATGATATGCATGTGTGTCTTATATTTTACATTGTACATAATCTGGTGTGTAGAGTTTGACTTATGCACAGAAGATCAGATTATCGGATTTTTGTATAATATGAGTATATATTCACAATCGTAGATGGACTTGGACACGCCATCGGTATGATTGTAGTGTAATATTTTGACATAATCTGTCTTGACTATATGAGATTGTTTGATGTTTTCGGATTATTGCACTAGTATACTTTGTGTATTGAATAGATCCATGTTGAGATTATTATCTTTTACTGATTTAATAAGATAATAAATATCTCATAATTATTATGATTAATTATAGTTTTAATCCCTAAATATTTAATTCTCGGGTGCATATAATGTTTGTCACTTTAATTCACCAAAAAGTGAGATTCATATTGAGTCAATAATCTCGATGAATTGGCTGATGATGTTATTTGTATGCTAAAAATTAAATATTAAAGGAAATCACGTCCTATGATTTAAATGGGTTGATAATATCCTCTTGAGGAAGCTCATAAGTTTTATCCATGTCGAACCCTGCAGGTGGATTTAATTATTCGATATGACAAATAAGTTAAGTAGTAAGGTCTTAAGGAATAAAAAAAGTCAATTAAATATAATTACCAGTGATTTATTTAATTGATGAACATTTGTAATCTTAAACGTAAGGAGATTATTAAACATATAATAATAAGAAACTTAAATATAATTTTGAGATAAGACTCATGACATCAATAATAAGTCTTTAGTGGACTGACTTATTATTAATGGGCTGTAAAATATTTATTTTGGGTTGACCATAGGAATCCTAAGCCCTTTGGGAGCCCGGTCCTTATTTTTTCTTAGAGCCTCTGTCGTAGCTTATAAATAGATGTCTAGGTTATGTAATTCAACATCCTATTTTTACTCACGTTTTTTAGGGAGGCTGAAAGAGAGAACAAAGATTTGGAGGTCTTGGTAGCCCACACTGCATCTGAATTTTGACGTTGAGGGATATACAATAGAAGGTTGCGAGATTCGTCGAGTTGTAGTAATTGTTCTATTATGCGTTTGTGCTGAAACGAGATCAATCCCAAGGGATCTTGAAGGTAAACCCTAATTTTGTCTTGTAGGGTTTTAAAGGAAAATTTTTGATATTCGATACATATGCGTTATCAACGGCTCTTGTAATTTCCGTTCTAACAACAGCAACAGCAGGCTCTGCAGGTGCGAGCGTTGCGAGTGTGGGTGTTGCAGGCACCTCTGGCATTGGTGTGCTGGGGCTGGCACGGGCAAGCGCAAGTAGGGGTGCAGGAGCTGGCGGGGTCGTGGTTGCGGTCGTGGATCTTTGGAGCCATCAAAAGATTTCACGGTTTGCATCTTGAACTTTGGGGAAGTGGGTAGTTGACCACATCAGCTACGAAAAGGAGTTTCAGTGCACCTCACAAGGTAGTCGACTGTTTACGGTGCTCGCGTCTTGATGGCGTTGAAGACGTCGCCTAACTGATTTTACACCTCATTGATTTTTTCGTCCTGCTGGTTAGAGACGCCCCTCTAAAGGACCATTGTAATGGCTTTAATGGTCCATGTACTGATTTTTCCCTCATTTTCGTGCATAGGATGGTCACCAGCGCTGGAGGATGGAGTCGGAATATAAGGAGAAAGAGCTTGGGTGAATGGGCATTGAGGAGAAATGCCCTGGTGCTGCAAGGGGGCGGCCTGGTGCTGGGTGCCTGGGCGTTTTGGAGGGATGCCTTGATGCTGGACGATGCCCTAGCACTGCAAGGGGCGCCCTAGTGTTGAGTGCCTTAGCGTTTGGGGCCCTACTAAGGTGCGCCTTGGCACCTTGGGCAGATTGCCTGGGGGTGGTTCTCCTCCTAGGGGCTGGGGCACAACTCCTTGAGGGTTTCCAACGAGTATTAACTAGAGGATATGTTGGTTTTGGTTCACCAACAGCTACAATGTCTTTAGTAGTTGCTGTCTGGCTATGGGATTTACCAGCAACAACGTGGTTTGCTAGTAGAGATAGGACCTTTTCTCGACTTGGTGGATCGTTCTCTTCTGTTTGTTGATTCATGGACCTAGTCGTAATAGCCATAAAATGGAAAAAAAGTAGGAAGAAATAGAAAGACAATAGAAAATTTAGTCACTCCCACAGACGGTGCCAAACTGATGACGCACAAATTAATTTTATGCACAACCTGTCAAGTAATTAATGCAGTGAATAAATAAGAAGAGAGTCAATACAAGTAAAACACAATTTAAGTGATTCAGTTAAAGTGACCAATTCCACTATGAAGGATTAAGATGGTCTAGGTGTTTTATTGCTTCAAAGTGTGTTGAGTAGTCAAGTGTGAGTAACAGACGAGGTACAAGATGTGAGATATGCCCCCATGTATAGGTAGGACTTACAATTTATAGGCGTCTCTTAACAAATTAACATGCCTTATTAGTAACAGAAAGACTGATTTGGTGGAGTGGGCGCCATCCTCGCAATAGTTGAGGCAGTTGCTAAGAGGACGTGGAGATTTTCTCAAGACCCAGCCCCAGGATAGCGTGGCAGACCTTCTCATTCTAGGATGGCGTGACTGTCATGGGCTTTGGTGAGCCTGACTTGATTTGGGTCTCTTCTAGGTCAGACCCACTGGGTTTTGGTTGAATCGGGCCCACTATTTGAGTTGGGCCTTACCTGGGCCGGACCTACTATCTGGGTTAGGCCTTGGGCTCGGCCATCAAGTTTGAAAAATAGTTATCATGTCTGGCACGAATTTGAATGAAATTTTATACATTTAAATTTTTTCTATATCTGATTTTACTAAAATTTAAATTTCAACTCAAATTTAAGACGGTTTTGAAGCCAAAAATAGTTGTAGAGTCGAACCACGATACCATGATGGGGGTGTCCGAATACACCTCCGACGGCTTCAAAACCGCCAGCAAAACCGAAGGTAATTGGTGTTGCCAGATGATGCCTTTATTTTGGATTTTGGAAAAAAATCTAGGCAAATGTGAAATATTTCTTGAAATTGATTTTTTTGTGCTTATCTTCTCTTGTCTGTTCATTTCTTATCCATTCATTCATTCATTTAGTTTGTCGTCTCTATCTTAATTTATCTTTAAGGGTAGGATTGGAAAATTAAATTATTTGTCAATTTTTTTGACTATTCATTTTCGGAAGTTGGGAAACAATTGGTTGTGTTCACTGTTGTTATGTATAATGTGAATTATTGCTAAACAATTGGTTGTGTTCACTGTTGCTAACTTTAGTTTTAGTGCTAAACAAAAAAATGTTAGATATAGTTATGTATACTGTGAATTACCATCTTTAATTTTAAATGTTACAATTATTGGTCACTATTAAGTTGTGTTTAGGTTGAGATTTTTTAGATTATGTTTTATTTTTTATTTTTAGTCTCTCAGACTGATTAATTATATTTTATATAGCAGACAGAGTGTGGATGGTGTATTGGCGGAGAATTTTTTTTTGTGTATGCATTGGGAATTATTTTGTTCAATCATGTATTGATACTTTCAATAGGAATTTTTTTTTTTTTTAATTTTTTGTAGTTATGAAAACCTCGTCTATCAGGTACTTATAAGGATTTTTTTCCCATTAATATTAAAATATTTTTATTTTATTACTTTTGTGCTGTCTTGTAAATTATTTTTATATCTGATTAGTTTATTAGATGTGTATGTTTGTCTAGAGAAAATATTATTGTAAATAAAATTTACTTTTTTATTTGAAAAAATGTATTTGTTTTGGGAAAATACCGAGACACGTAGCCATTTTTGTGTCTATAAAGAGTATTTGCTTCAACATTTTGTCGAAGCAAAAAGTGACTATTTGTATCGACAAAATGCCGAAACAAACATATATCTTTTGCTTCGATTTTTTGACTCTGGTTATATATCGATGCTAGGTTTTTTGTTTCAACAATAGGATGTAGTGCACTACACAACGGTGATGATGAGTTTTGATTCGAAGTTGTTGGAATTTGAACTGCAAGACTCACACCCAGCTAAGGGGGCTCTGGCTTACTTGTAACCAGCTTACTTGGGAGTAATCTTTTATTCCTGAACGTCTAAAAGGGAGTAGAAGGGGGTTTAGTTCTGTGATAAAAAAAATATGACAACATACTTTCTCTATTTTTGGCTATTCAAACGTAGAAAAACAATAAAACGGTAGAAATTTGGGTGTGTTTCTTGTGACTTCATGTACTGCAAGTATTTGTTTAGATATTGGAGTACTAGTTATTACTCGTAACTGAAGGTAATTAATAAAAAAAAAATTGTCAGTCATAAAAGAGGAAAAAATAAATTTAAGCACCGGTAATAATGAGAGTAAGTGGTGGTAGTGGTGGTGGGAGACGTTGATGGTTATAGTAAGTGACGACAACTGTAGTGGTAGTAGTAGTCGTAGGCAACAATAGTGATTATGGGGGTGGGTTTTGGGTGACGATGGTGGCAGAGGCAACCATGGTTAATGATGATGGTGGTGGGCAACAGTTATGGTGGTTGGCAATTGTGGTGGTGGGGTGACGACGATAATCGAAGTTTTGCGTATTTCAGATGGTCGTAAAGTGAGACCACATAAAGAGCTCTTCCTCATTCAGTCAGATTATTTAATAAAATATGATTATTTTTTCTTTTTGTTTGAATCTTCATATAGAAAGTCGACTTCCTCATACTCCTGCATTTATTCATGGAGTTGGATGAATCCATAGGAGGCGCCACCCCTTACGAATTGCATGAAAGAACCTTTTTTTGTATGACTTCTCTTTTGCTTCAGGTCAGTTGTGGTGGGTGGAGACAATGGCAGTGGTGGTGGACAACGATGAGTGTTTGGGTGATGGTGATGGTGGTGGTGGGTAGTGGCAAATGGTGAAGAGAGTGGTAGGTGTGGTGGGGGATGAGTGACAATGACTGACGATGGTGGTGGATGATAACGAGTAGTTATGGTGGGTGGGCGCCGACGGGTGGTATTCGGTTGTGGTAGTGGGTGGCAGTAAATGGTGGTGACTAACGATGGTGGTGGTGGGTGACGGTGGTGGTGGAATGATGGTGATAATGGTAATAACTATAAGAATGAGATAATGATGGTGACAGTGGTAGTAATCGGTAGTCGTTGTGGTGGTGGGTGATGGTGGTGGTGGTTGTGACAAAGGTAGTGATGGGGTGATGATGGTGGTGGTAGGCTGGCGGCAGTGATCGTGGTTGTGAAGTGTTTTGTAAAGAAGTAATTTTAAAGAAGTAGAAGTTATTTTTATTTTTATTTATTTACTTATTTAATTTTGAAGTAATTAAAATAAATTGTTCCAAACACTATTTTTTAAAAAAAAAATGCTTATGAGAAATCATAAGTTCTATAACTACTTATGAAAAGTCACTCCAACTGTACCCTTTAGAGATCTATTTTTCTTATTAAATTTGAGAAGTTAATATTAACATTCGATTTAACTTTAAAGTAAAATTTAAAACAATCTCAACCGTAAAAAATAAAAGTCATTTTTTATGTCTTCAATTCTTTTACTTTATTATATAGACTAGTTATTATCTGTACTTGAAGGCACACATTAATAAAAAATGATAAATAATAAATATATTTGTGATTTATATCCAAAATTAAATCACAAACATAGAAAAGAAATAAAAAAATTTAAGTATCGATTTGTTATGGGGGTGAGAGGTGGTGGGCGGTAGTAGTGGTTATAGGAAATGATGATGGTTGTGGTGGGTAGCAATGACCAGGATTGCGGTAGCGGCGGCGAAAACGGCGGCGGTAGTGGCGGCGGCGACGACAATGACACTAGTGGTGGCTGCAGCGGTGGTGGTAGTGGCGGTGGGGGTGGTGGTTGTGATGATGGTGGGGGTGGAGGGGTAGAGGTAGTGGTGGGACGATTTCAAACACTATTTTTTTTTTAAAGTATTTATGAAAAATAATTTCTAAAAATACTTTTAAAATGTCACTTCAAACACATGCTTATGGACCTATTTTTTCTATTAAATTTAGAGTATTAATATTAGCTGTTAGATTAACTTTAAAGTAAAATTTAAAACGATCTCAACCGCGAATAACAAAATTTATTTTGTTTATCTTTTGAGATTTGAATTGTAAGTTACTTTATTATATAGACTAGTTATTGCCTGTGTCTGAAGGCATAGAGTAATAAAAAATGGTAAATAATATACATATTTGTATTTATATCCAAAATTAAATTACAAACATAGAGAATAGATAAAATAATTTAAACATCGATTTGTAATAGGGGTGAAAGGTGGTGGGCGATAGTAATAGTGGTGGTAGGAGATGGTGATAGTTGTGGTGGGTGACAATAATCATGGTGGTGGTGGTGGTGGCGGCAACGATGATGGTGGCACAGTG